AAAAAAAAAAAAAAAAAAAAAAAAAAATCCCACAACTTGTCCCACAATAGCAATCAGGCAACAGTGCCTTAAGGTCAATGATCTATAGAGGAGAAACAAAAGACCTCTCACAACCATCTGTTCCCAGAGCTGCCCTACTCCATGGCTAGACATAGTCAATACACCTGCCCATACCAACTTGGAGATAGGTAGGGCCTGTCAAAACCAAATGTCCCCCCAGCCCTGCTTCACCCTTCTGAGTCTTCGGACACATTCAAATGCATAGCAACTTACCTGTATGAAGTCATTGGCGAGCCAAGCCATCTCCTCCAACACAAAGTCCCAGTGCCCTTTCCTGTGCCATGGTTCAGCAGCTGCATTCCTCAGAGCCCAGTCTGCATTGTGACTCTGTGCTGCCTGCTCTTTAATGAGAAAAAAGAAGAAACAACAGAGAAAGAAGAACAAAGTTCAACAAACAAGATTTACATAACATATTAAAATTACATAAGATTCTCAAAGCAATGAAAGTGCATGACACACACAGAATCAGTCTGAGAGTATTGCTGCTTGATGGTTTGATTTGCTGACATTTCCATGTTGTGAGTCTTCTGACTGAGATTGATGTTTGCTTGCACGAGTCCAAGTCCCTATGTGATGATTGCTATGCAGAGTAAAAACTGTTTTATCGTCCTCGATGCCCTGTGTTGTCTGTCTGTGTCCCAGAATGGGGCAGTTTGGAAATTGGGGAACCAGAGGGAACTAGACAACCGGCGGACTTCGAGAAAGGCCAGGACGGACAGGGACAAAAGTCGAATTTGGGCTAGTGCCTAATAGGATTTCCAGCAATTCGGGTAGACCCAACTAAGGTCTGGCAGGCTCAGAAGGACCCGCTAGCCAGCTTCTGAAAAGGTCATCAGTAGCCAGGGCCTGGAAGTAGAATTGCAGCCTGCAATGATGTTCCCGCCAAAAGGCAGCCGCTTCAGTAGGCCTAGCACACCGGACGAGGCAGTCGTACCGCGGTCAAGGGAGACAAGAGGCCGAGTCGCCGCAATGAATAGGTATACCACATTACCGGGCAGTTATGCTTCTGCTCCGTCCAGAGGGTGAAGTTAGGCAGAGCTCCTCTTGAGTGGTGGAGCTGGAGGATGAGGAAGAAGACATCCATGGCAGTAGAGTAGTAGTAGAAGGGTGTAGGGCCCGTTGAGAAGGCTGAGATATCAGCCAACAGATGGACAAGGTCCATCACAGGCTACATAGCTTCCAATGGCAAATTCTAAGACGGCTTCCAATGGCAAATTCTAAGACGGCAGTTTCCCTAGCTTCTATATGTTTCTTGCTCTTCATGCAAAACTCAGCAGGTTCAGACAGTGGACCTGAGAGGAAAAGTAGATGCAAGGCAAGCTGACAGTCAATCCTCCACGGTATTGGAGCAATCAATGCTAGTCAGGGATCCTTCGGTCAGACGGAAGGAAGCGTGGGAGTGGCCATATTTTTTTATTTTATTTTTTTCAAATGAATAGCTGATGTGTAAGCTCTCTATCCCAGCGGAGGTAAGAGAACCGTCAGGATTGAGGGCTTATGTGTCCAGCTGCTCCATCTATTGGTGGGGAGCGGCACCTGCTGGAAACCGGGTCCGTTGACTGCCCGATACTCCAGTACCGTATGTGTCGCCTCTCCTCCACGCTCCCGCCACCCTACCTTCCTCGCTGACCTACCTCTCTCCTTGGCGATGTCGTCAACGTCTTCGCCCCCCTCGGCACTACCGAGGGCTGGGGTTCCCTAGACAGCCGGGACCGCCGGCCGGTAAGTTTCCCACTCACTCGCTTCTTCAAAAGTTGGTGCGAAGTCCCTTGACAGCATTTCCCCGGCAATGAAGGATTGCGGCGGGCCTGATTTGTTTAGGATGAGGGAGGGTTACAAAACAGGGGTTGTCTCAGGACCTCCTGTTTTTTATGTGGTTTTGTAATTTTCTGTGGGAATATTTTCTGCCAGTTCTTAAGAATGGATACTCAATACTGGTCCGGATATTGGAGTTGTGCTGAATACCTGTTCGTTTGTCCCTCTTTTTCTTACCTGTTTTGATTGTCCATTCCTTGACGTTCCGTTTCAACTACTGAAAAACCAACAAAAAGGATTATGATCCACTTATCCATTTTGAGGACAGATAAGCTCAATGACTCATGTGCTGTGTGTTCCTGCTGTAATATATCACACTCATTACCTTGTATGTTTCGGCAAGCTCTAGCACGACATGTTCATGAGCCTGTCTTGCATTTGCAGCCAATTGAAACTTCTCCATCCTCTTACTTTCTGTAGCAGCTTCTGCTGCTGCTTCGGCTGCTGCTTCGGCTGCTGCTGCTGCTGCTGCTGCTGCTGCTGCTGCTGCTGCATGGATATCCTCGGTCCAGAGCTTGGCCTGCCCTTGTGCCCCGACACCCACCAGCGCATGCTGCAATCTCCCGACGGGTGCAACGGCACCAAGCATCCTGTCGTCCACGGGTTGTCTTTCATGCACTGGGATTGAAATGGCGCCCTTAGGACTAACACTTACATATTGTCCACTCTCTGTCCAGGATGAACATCCTTCATTTCCGATGCCTGCAACACTTACCGGACTCCTTTCAGCAAGAGTGACACCACCTTCCATCTTCACAGTCCCTTCTGTTACCATAGCTTCTGAATACATAATGATCCTTGGGCTCTCTGATTTCCTTAGCCCCCCAACAACCCTCCCACCATATTGTTCTTCATTCCTACTGACGTGAGTGACACAGTGAGCAGGTGAAGTGGTTCCCGACGGAGAAATAGCGTAATCTCCCCATCCTGGTTCAACTATACTCCTACTCTCCCACCCAGCCCCACCTTCTTGAACTGCTTCATTCCGCTCTATGCCCCTGTGACTCCCTACCCCATTTGTGTCCAGTGAATCACACTTCGATTTTTCCCGAGTCAGCATATTCTGAGAATGCAAGACCACAGGTTTTGCCATTACTCCGCCAAAATTTATGTGCCACGACACATTGATGCTATTGCAGTCTCCACCACCACATGCATCCTGAACTACATTCTTCAGACACCCAACCCTCCCTTCATGCACAGGGTCCCTCAAACCTGCAGCAGGACCCACGATGCCTGTCCCATTCATGATCCCGTCGACACCGTTCCCTCGGAGAAACCGATCCCTCTGTTCGAGGTCTGTGACCTCTGACATAGTCTGTGCTGTTCCACTGACACCATTATCGATAATCCCTCCATCTCCCATATCCCCACTCGCGTCAATGTGTCTACCTATTAGCCCTCTACCTCCACTTGAACACAGGGGTTCATCCCTGGGATCGCAAACCAGTTTACACCCCAGATCCCCGAGCCGTGCATCATTACGCTTATGAACCAACCCCCTCGTCACACTGCTCCCTCCTAGGCTATCGCCACCATGAGTAGTCGGTCCCCCAACAGAGACTTTTGGATTACCATTGCCTGTACCACACCCCTCTGACAGCATTTCCCCATACCTTAGAGGCAGCGGTCCCGTCAGTGCGTTCAAGCTAGCCAAACACTCCCCATCATCCATGCTCCTTTCTCCAAAGATACCAACAACATGCATGGATGACCCATTCCTCCTACCTCCTCCATGACACTTGACATCAACCACTCTGGTCTCTATCTCCATCGATGGAGAAAACGAATTCTGGATGCTTGCTCACAATACGACCACCTCCTGCCTCCACAAATTCATCAGTTGGAAAACTTCCTGGCTTTCTGCCTAACTGAGGGGATCTCTTCTCCATCCACCGATTCATTCACATCAACATATGCATGCGTAAATGCTGACTCTGCCACAGAGGAGACAGCCTGAGTAGTTGTGTCTTTCCTGTCATCTGCCAAACAGTCACCAGTACGGCCATGTTCAAGTGCAATATGTGTGTCAGAACATGAGACACACTGTCTTTTACTGCCCTCCCCTTAATGACAGATTAAAATATTGACAACAACTTGAATTTCCAGGTCTTGTACAAGAGCTGCTTCCTGCATCTCTCTCTGCTTCCCCCGTTACAACACCTCTGCATAATTCCTCAAGCACTGATCCACCGATGTTCACGACTCCCTCATAGACAGCACTGTCTTCATCACCAAAACAAAACCAGTTGACAGCACCTAGAGTCAGGACTCTCTCTCTCTCTCTCTCTCTCTCTCTCTCTCTCTCTCTCTCTCTCTCTCTCTCTCTCTCTCTCTCTCTCTCTCTCTCTCTCTCTCTCTCTCTCTCTCTCTCTCTCTCTCTCTCTCTCTCTCTCTCTCTCTCTGTGCTCACTTTCACATGCACATGGACAAGTGGATACAGTTTTTTTTGGCATTTAGTCTTGAAGGATTTCACTTCTTGGCCCACACGGCTGCACCAGTGCTGCGTGTGAAACACTTATGGGCAGACTCAGAGTTTTCATACTCTGGCTGTGATTCCCATGGGCTGTGTGTCTTATCAGCACATAAGGGTGACCGGGGTCCTTTCACCACCACTGTTAGTGACAATGACCTGCCCTGGTGCGCTTATACCTGGTGGACTATGGGCAGGCTTGGCCTCTGAGGCACGGGGGCCACAAAATTTTGAATGGAAATGTCCCTAATATGGCAGTTTTCATTGAAAGGCCACTAGCTCAGTTGGTTGAGCACCGGTGGCTAATGCACCTTTGTGGCTTAGGGTACACGTTCAAATCTTTTTTTTTTTTTTTGTTTCAAGAAACTGACGGAGCGGCTGCTAGGGGCGCTGATAAGAGCAGGCACCACTAGCAGTGTCGGGGTGGCTCCATCTATTGGCGGGGAGCAACACCTGCTGGAAATTGGGTCCAGCGTCCCTGTAAAGTACAATGTAAGCAATGTAAGTTATGAAAACAATGCAAGCATAAAAGGTCAGTATGCATGAGGGGGGGTGGGCGGTGAGCGGCCCAGCACTCTGTCAATCCTGATTTTGTTGAAGCATTCTACGAGCTATCAATGACACTGCAGTTTACTGCACAGTTACTGTGTACTAGCTATCAATTACAATGAAGTTTACTGTGAGCTGTTGACTGTCATTCTCTATTTGTGTGCTTGCTGTGTGGTTGTTGCAGTGTGTTGTTGTGTCTTGTATCATGGCGTTGTGTGAAATGTGTGTGCGCTGTTGCATGGAGCTCAGAAGCGTTGTGCTATATTGCTATATTGCAGTGTGCTGTGGCAGTTGTAGCGCGTTGTGCCATATTGCAATGTGCTTCGTAAGTTGTAGTTGAGGATGTTCGTGAGTGTGTTTGTTGTGACACATGCATGTGTGTGTTCCGTTGTGTCAGTGGACTAATCCTATCAGATGTAAATACACAGCGGATGAGTTGGATCGTTGTTGGATCATGTCGATGTCCAGGTTGTATTTACGGAGTTCTCATCGTCTTTCTGAAAGACCAACCCCGGCCGGCAGAGGGAATGGGAGATGAGGGGTTGGGGGGGGGAAGAGGGGAAGGAAGGGGGGGAGGAGAGGGCAGTGAAAAGGCGGGGGCGTCGGGCACAAGGACGAAGTCAGTTGGTTGGAAGTGGAGAGAGAAGTGATCATGCGGGAGGAACTCCCACTGGGGCTCTGTGGCCAACCACAGTTGCCATTGCAGGTTATTGGAGTGGTCTAATCTGCATAACCTGCAATGCGGGTCCACCCATTTAGCCCAGAAGTGTCAAGCAGCTGTTGCCTCTTGGGCTCTTCTGTCTCGTTTTCGAGCCCAGTTTGTAACTCCTTCCAGGCTGATTGTGTATGACATAGTATTGTGTCAGCGATTGTTGATCTTGCTTGTATAAAGCTGAATGCGTGTTGTCTCCTCTCAGACGAGCACCTCATTCTCCATGCTGCCATGAGCAGAGCCAAGCGAGAGTATTGGAACAGATTCAGCATAAATTGTGTCCAGTCCGTTCCTTCGGGGGGGAGGACCGCAAAGAGGATATCCTCTCGTCCCAAGGGAAATGTTGACCAGTGAAGTAGTGCCAGGCCGCATCCCACCGCCTCCAGAGTCGAGCCACCATGGGGCAGTCCAGTGGGCAGTGCTCAAGGGTGGCACGTTTTGTTGGGAGGATGCATTCGCAGTATGTGCATAGCGGCGACAGCAACCCTTTCTGCTCCAGGTTGGTTCTTTCTGTTAACCAATCAGGGGTGGGCAGGCACCTGTGAATGATCTGACGCTGAAGCGCTCTGTGGTTGGCCGGTCTAATGTGGGAATAGGCCGACCACCTAAAAGTGTGCAGGTCAGCACGCTTAAGGGTAGAGTCTCTGTCCCACCTCTCGAGAATGGTATCCACGACCGGGATGCGGTTTCTCATTGTTCTGTACTCTTTTTTGACCGAGTACTGCCACGGGTGCATAGTTGAAGTTTTCCCCCATTTCCATTCCCATTCCACCGGGTCAAAGGGGAGGTGGGAGAGGGGGGTATTCCGTTCGTAGGCATATAGTGTCTCATCTTTGTCTTGTACCACCTGTACTCGGATGAGAGAGTCAGGTGGGCTCAGGGCGTCGAGCAGTTCCATCCTATGGAGCACGGACCCCCGACAGCTTTGGAGTATATGTCGTCAGTTGCAGGGAAGTAGGGGACAACACTTGGTCTACCTTGTAGATAGTCATGGGCGCGCACCAGCCAGTCCCCTTTAGTTATAACAGGACCTTTCCGCAGGGCAAGCACCCATGCCAAAGGAACCGCTTCCCAGATCTCTGCCAGATCTTGGTCCAGGTTGGGAGGCAAGCCCAACCTTGTTCGGATTGCTTCGCATGACTCCCAGGCTGTTGTGTCGTAATTCCACAGGTCCCCGACTGTGTGGATGCCCTTCTTGGTCCATCGCAACCATTTGGACTTGCAGTTATGGGAGAAGGGGGACCCCATGAGGTCCAGGATTTGGGGATGGCCAAATAGGGGTTGCCTTCTGATTTTGTGCCATCTAAGCGGCACCGGCATCCGTTTTGGGCCATGGTCCCTCCATAGGCGTAACAGGCCACATGGGGTGTGTGCGCAGGTCCCATCTCGCTTGGCCTGGCGGGGATCGGTCCGAGTCCACTCAGTGGCAGGCTGGAATGGTCCAGGTCAGTTTAGTTAGTCAGTAGAGTGGGTGCACCAGGTGGTTCAGGGGCGAAGTTGGGTCAGGGCAAGTAATTTGGATCAATGCATAAGGAGCCCATGGGATGTCATTGCCCAGGAGCAATCTGATGAGGAACTCGAATACCAGCGCCCTAATTTCCTTGCCCGGGTTGATAATACCCAGCCCCCCTCTACTCCTTGGTTGGACAAGCATCTCGCAAGGTAGGCTCTTTATGCAACAGGTGTTATTGTGATCATTTTCCCAGAGGTACGCGGCAGCCACTTGTCTCAGTCTTGTGAGCTGTTTTTCGGTGAGCGGCCAAAAGGCCACTTTGTACCAAATTGAAGCAAATAAAAGCAAATATGGAATTGTTGATTGCAAAAGCCTGACTGACCAGGGAAGTCGGTTTTGCGTCCCATCGTGACAGACACGGTATCAGTTTCTTGTTGATGTCTTAGATTTGCCAGGGCTTTGGAATATTCATTGCATTTACGACCTAGAAAATTCAGGTTGTTGTTGAACCATATTATGTTGTTTTCGATGCAACTCCTCTGCTTTTTCCAGAATTCTCATACGTCATCGAGGTATTGCAAGAAGTCCTGGTTCTTTAGATGTGAGGTATTGAGTTTATAGAATCCCCTACCGTGATCCGTTTTTTTCCGGAAAGAGAATACTGCCATACACATAGCATGATCCAATCCTAGGAAGGGGCTCCTAGGTAAGATACAGGCGAATTGAAGACCTCCTTGAAGATCTTCAAAGACTAAAATTGGATCAATCCTAGATTTAGTAGGTTTGTTGGAGTGTCTTTTAGTAAAGCACGAGAAAGATTTAGTGGTGGGATTCAGTCTCCTGAAGGAGTCAAAGAGATTGAAGGAATTGCATAAATTAGATATGATTTGTTCATCCTTTTGTATATAGGGAGGGCATGGGGAGGGAATGTTTCATCTATCTAAATTCTGATTGGGGGCTGCATTGAAGTCCCCTGCCATTATTACAGGGATGCCCACCGGGAGACGGGGAAGTAAGAATCAAAAAAAAAATTGGCGTTCCCCCAACTCATTAGGACCATATACATTCAATATACTAACTATTTTTTATTTCAGCATTGCTAGAATAAAAATTCATCTTCCTTCCTGTTGGTCGGCTTCCCAGTTAATTACTTCTACTTTTGAACCTGGAGGGACCCATATCGCCACACCTGCACTTCCTGGTTTTGGAGCATGTGCCCGACACGCGTCATGGGGTCATAATTCCTTGTGAATGTGATTATGGGTAACTGTGTTCATTAAGTGTGTTTCCTGAATGAAGAACATGTCTGGCCATTCCTTGTCACCTACCCCTTTAAGGAGGTCTAGTATAGCTTGGTGCTTGGTGGACTTGGCAGAGGCTAGGCCGTTTACATTGAGAGATCTGAGATCTAAGTCTGCATTTCTTTTAAGGAGTCTCCAGTTTTTATCCTTCTTATAGAGAAGGTCTATTAGGTTCACATCTACTATTTTATTCTCCATTGATCTACAAGTCTTTCCAGTTGGCAATATCCAGGACCCCACCTTTCTTGAGGGTGACCTGCCGTATTATTCTGCGAAGAATGGTAATAACATCATCAGACCAGAACTGATTAGACTTGATCTTGAGAATTTGTAGATCTTTGATTGCTTTTGTATTCATCCATTTCAAGTTGGGAGTATCCAGGACTTTAAATTTTACATATATATCACCATCTGATACTCCCCCCGACCCCGGTAGCAGCATGATAGAAGTTCAACCCCCTGTAGGAAAATGTTTTTTTGTTAGTCTAAAAGCCTCTGGTTTACTTATGGTTGTGTCATGTCCTTGTAGAGTGACTTCACCATAATGTGATGGATAAATCACGGAGAGTCCCGCTTCACATTCGCCTTCCTTGAACCTAACTGGAAGGATAACCGTACCCATCCTCGAGAGGGGGGATTGTTCCGCTGCCTGGGTGAGGTGTA